GCGTACCAGTGAGGCGGTCAGGCGGTGTGACGTTGTGATGCAATACTTACCTATAGTGGCGGGTGAGTGCGTACCAGTGAGGCGGTCAGGCGGTGCGACGTTGTGGTGCAGCACTCACCTGTAGCGGCGAGTGGGAGCGTCCCATTCAGGACGTTCGGGAGGTGGCGTTAGGATGGAGACGGGCGGCGGAGACTCGCTCTTCTCGCGCTCTCCGGCGTCGATAGCCTCCTGCTTGCGCTTCACGGCGTCCGACTTGCCCTTGTAGTAGTCGTAGAGAGAGAGCTGCTCCCAGCCTTCACTGCTGCCCCCAGAACACCACACATGTCATGCTCAAAATACACTGTAATTTCCTTAGCATTACAATTTCCTTAGCATTCCATACGAAATTCACAATTATTTCCTGCCTCGACAACATATACTAATTTCATAAGGTATGCAAAAAAGTTGCATACAAATTATTATACGATAGACACATGTTATCAAATAATCATGGGATGGCGACAAATATGGCGAAAAATACTAAATGCTCACGACATTGATAAATACTGACAAATGTTGTGTTGGAAACCTTAACTTATACTAATACTGAACTAATACATTAAGGCCCTCATTGAGAACCGAGAGGCTTTGAACAGACTTGGCTCTTCCCTATGCGTTTCTTCACAAATTAGAATAGACTTTACTCCACTCGTAAATGAGATGGCAACATGGATTTTTCCATGCTTACCCAGGTATTTATTTATAAACGGTGGACAGGAACAAAAAATATGTTAACTTTGTATTAAAAGAGTTTTAATGAGAGGAAATTCCAAGAAACTTTGAATATTATGTTCATCAAGTCTGCGACTTTTATACTTTTTTGGAGATTTAAACGGGTTGTAATTTGTATTCTCCATTGAATGGTATATACTCGGCATTCCTTGATCAGCCTCCTTGTTCTAAATATTATTTCTCGAAAAATAGTTATGATCGAGCCTGCTGATATGCGGAGGGAAAATCCCGCAAACTAGCTGCTCACATGGAGGCGTTGAGGAAGGCATGAGGGGAAAGAGACGTGGTAAATTACTCGACGGTCAGTTCATGACGGGCGGCATGGTGACGGCAAACTCAATGAGGGGTGAAGAATAATACGTGGCCAGTGGTCGGCCTAGTCCAATTAGTTATAGCCGACCGCTGGCCATTCCTCGGCCACCTAAAAGCGACCAGTTGCCACAAGAAAGGGGCTGGCTAGGATATCATATTACAAAGAGTACACGCTCGAGGGTAGCGACTGGCCGAGCTTCGGGCAGATCAAGAATTTTACACGATGGTCGCGAAAACCTCGCTCTCAGACTTCGCTGCATTCTGACTAGAAGCTTTAATTGGTACTTTAATAGTTCAGGCACACAGCGGCTGTGGTATAAAATTAAATTCAAGACTATTTCACAATCCACCACACCTAGGGCCCGTGTAGTACTCTATTCTACTTCGCAGAGGCCTCTTTCCCTTACAAAGTGTCTGAAATCTGCTATGTCGGCACGTGTACTCTGCCATAATCAACGCAATGCATTTGTTGCCACGTGTCGCACGTTTTGCCACGTGACCCACTTTTGGACGTGACGCACCTGTTCCTGGGGCGCTCATGGGAGGGCGGCAGGTAGAAGTTGTCGACCGCACGCAAGAGGCGCTCGGTGGGCGGGGCGGGGGCGGGGAGG